AAAATGCATATTTCCCTCAACATGTCCTTCTGTCCTGTCCAAATCTGTACAATCCAACATGGTAGCCATCAATCACATGAGGTAGTGAGCACTTGTCAAATGGCTTGTGTGACTTGAAATGGGCGGTGAGTGTAAGATGTACTCTGGAGTTTGAAGACTCTGTATAAAGTAAGGAATGTAAAAGATTTCATAATATTTATACGAATTATCTGTTGAGATATTTTGGGTATACTGGGCTAAATATGATATCTCATTAATTATTCCTTTTTTATACTTTAATGTGGCTGTTGGAAAATTTAAATTTACATTTGACTTCTAGGCAGAAGAAGTAGTCTGCAAGGTGCTCTAATGTGCCTGCTGTGTGTGTGTGTACAGGTGTTGTGCCTTCAACTACATTGTAAACTCTCTGAGGGTAAGAACTATGTCATCTACCTCCTGATGCCCTGAGGCACACACAAGATCCACAGCAGAGAGTCAATTCATGTTTACTGGATTCCCGAGGACTTTCTTGCTCACTCTGGCATTTCATGACGCTGGACAAGGGGCCATGGCTGTGCCTGAGGCCCCTGGGGAATGCAGGGCAGTGGATGGGAGGAAGGACTGGGGGGAGGGGTGCTCTCACCACAAAGCAGCCAGGCCATGAAGGACTCCTGGGCTCCTGTGGTCAGGCTGAGTTGTCCCCGTGAAGCAGCTTTCCGGGTACTCTGTGTCCAGACTCTGGAGCTGTCTGGCAGTCCTGCTAATCATTCACCACCTTTGGCTTCTTGCTCGGCTGCTCGTGGGCAGTGTCCGGATGGGATGGGAGATTCCTATCTTCAAAGTGCTAGGATCAGGATGCTCATGTTTTAATGATCAACGTGGAGCCTTGATGCCTGGCCAAGGCAGGGGACTGAGCATCCCAAATGAACCGTAAGTGGGGCTTCTTGTCCTGCATCTGTGCTACTCTCAACCTCTCATTGCTTTGAGGCAGGTCTGCTGTTGAGTCTCCCTCCTCTTCTGACCACTGGTGCCCAGCCCACAGCTGTCAGGAACAGCTGGCGACGTGAGTGTGGAGCTGAAATAAGCTCTGCTGCCTCCACCTCACGGGGACCGTAGCCCTGAGGTCCTGAGAGTGACCAATTAGCTCTTCCATGGGCCTGCAGACCACAGGTGCCCTTGCCCGACCTTGCTGATACTTAGAGAAGTAAAGGACTCTGCTTCTCCCAGAGCAAATGTGGGAACCAAGGAGAGTCCCCAGGTTGTCTCCCCCCTGATTCACTTCAGAAGGGTCACTCTCAGAGTGTCGCCTTGACTCTCCTACCGCTGGGCATTCAGCTGGACAGTGATTTCCACAAATGTGGGCAAGTCACCAAAAAGGAGAAAGGAACAGGAGATATACATGCTCACTTCTGTGGAACAGCATGCATGTCTATTTATTTCCTCTTTAGGGAAATTAAGTTCAACACTCACTTGTGAAGATAAGGGTATGGCATTCAGCAAATCAAGAGGGAATTAGAAATAGACTCCATATTCTAACTTCCAGGCAGTGTATTTCCCAATTCCTCAAGCTGCCTCTGAAAACTCTCTACACCTCGGTGGTGACAATGGTCACCTCCAGGGTGTAGGATGACAGATGATTTTCAATATTCTTAGTTTTGCTTATATAGTTTATCTAATTTTTCTATAATGACTACACATTAATTCTAGAAAAAACACTGGAAATCTAAAAGTACCCAGATTCTTTAAGAAAGCAGAATTAAGCTGTTTTTCTTTATTGATTTCTTTTTTTTTTTTTTTTTTTTTGAGTTGGAGTCTCACTCTGTTGCTCAGGCTGGAGTGCCATGGCACACTCACGGCCACTCCAGTGTTGATCTGCTGAACTTGGGCTATCCTTCCGCCTCAGCCTCTCAGCCTTCCAAGTAGCCAGAACTACAGGCGCATGCTACCACACACGGTTAATTTTTGATTTAGAGACGCGGTCTCACCAAGTTGCCCAGGCTGGTCTCTAACCTGCAGGCTCAGGCAATCCACTCGCCTTGGCCTCCCAAAGTATTGGGATTACAGGCTGAGCCACCAAGCCCGGCCTAAGTTATGTTTTTCTAACTTACCTTCACACTCAAGTCCCCAGCTCAACAGGCTTCCCAATGGCAAGATGCTATCTCAATTATCACCAACTCCACAGCAGAGAGATATATTTTTCTGGCATTAAGTGGCATTAGGTATAAATACTTGGATGGAAGAGAAGGCTCAGAGGCAGTGCGGTGCCCTGGGTGTAACCTCTCCTCCTCCTCACTGGGGGCGCTGTCAGCACACAGGTGCTGCCTCTCTGCCCCACAGCATCTCTTGTAGTCTGAACACAGGTGGTTGTACAGAAGACATCAGCCAGGTTCGTGTTCTGTGATGAGCTCCCTCTTCCATCAGCACACCTCTCACCCTCAGAGAAACTCCTATTCCACGTACCCTCTGCAGTAAACCCAGAAGCATCAGCGGGCCCAGCGGCAATGCCTCATGTCCCCTGTACCTTAGTCTCTGCCATCACCTCTCCCTATGCTCAGCTGCCTGTTGCCCAATACCTAGAACTGGGACCTCATAGGTGCTTTAGACACCTGTCAAGTAAAAATTGAGACATTTCCCATAAAAATACAAATGGTGGCCAGGTTCGGTGGCTCAGCCTGTAATCCCAGCACTTTGGGAGGCCAAGGCGAGTGGATTACCTGAGCCTGCAGGTTCGAGACCTGCCTGGGCAACTTGGCGAGACCTCGTCTCTACAATAAATCAGAAATTAGCCGGGCGTGGTAGCACACGCCTGTAGCTCCTGCTACTTGGAAAGCTGAGGCGGAAGGCTCGCTGGAGCCCAGCAGGTCAAGGCTGCCGTGGCCGGGAGTGTGTCACTGCACTCCAGTCTGGGCGACAGAGACAGACTCCAACTAAAAAAAAAGAAAAAAAAGAAAATACAAATGGTTAGCATCGGCTCACTGGAGTCATGCCTCTTCATGCTGTCTACATTGTCAGGACCACATCTTAATCCCTTGTGTCAGTTAGGGATGGACCGTGGAGACCCTGTGATATGGGATATGGATTTCTTGTCAAAAGTAGACCTTACACATTTGTAGGATCTGGTGACAAACTATGGAAGGTTGATGCCTCCCTGCGGTGTGAGGAGCCTGAGGTCATGTGAGGCAGCAGCTAGGAAGCAATCCTAACTTGAAAGAAGAAATCCAGCCGGGCTCGGTGGCTCAGCCTGTAATCCTGCGCCTTTGGAGGCTGAGGTGAGTAGACTGCCTGAGCCTGCGGGTTCGAGACCTGCCTGGGCAGCGAGACCTCATCTCTACAATAAATCAAAAAAAAATCAGCCAGGCGTGGTAGCACGTGCCTGTAATTGCGGCTACTCGGAAGGCTGAGGCGGAAGGATCGCCGGAGCCCAGCAGGTTGAGGCTGCAGTGGCTGGGAGTGGCCACTGCACTCCAGTCTGGGCGACAGAGTGAGACTCCAACTCAAAAAACAAAAACAAAAAAAAGAAGAAATCCATTACTGAAGGAGGGAAGAGGAGGGGCAAATGGAAACTCACAGGACAAATTGGAGCCTGTGGTCATCCTCTTCCTACCTCATGTCTTCATGGCAGGTAACCTGCAGGAGAAGCCATTGCCCTTTACACTACGAGAAGGTGGGGGAGCTCTAGGCCTGGCTGCTGCTCACACCCAGCAAGTGAGCAAGCAAATCATGACACAGTGTGTGAGCCCCAACGTGTTTGGCACCCTATACTGTAAGAAGGAACAAAGAGAACAAAGAAAGAAGTGTACGGGGGGAAAGCAGGAATAGCTCTAACCTTGAGGCAGGCATTACTCCTTTCCTGGAAACTTTCTCTGCAGACATTACGCACTTGATTGTACCCTTATCTGCCGCACCTGCATAACCAGCTACATCTGCTTCTGTAAACTTGCTTGCTTGCCCATGCCTCCAGAATGTTGTGATAGGAACCCTGGGAAGCCCCAAGTTCTATCTTTAGCCCACCAGGATATAAATCTAAACTATTTAAGACAGCCCTGTGTTGCAGCTCAAAGCTCCCTGCAAGCGGCTGCTGGCCAGTAAGAGCCTTGACTAATAAACCTCTCCTTTGCTAATTTGAGTCGGTGGGCCATCATTTAATCGCTCAGACCCTACTTCAATACCTTCCAAGCATTCTTAGATTGCTGCTTCCCTTCCACCTTCAGAGCCTCCTGTAAATTCCACCTATGGCCAACACCAACCTGCAGCCTTATAGGGAAGGACATTCTGGGAGTTGTGGTTCAAGCTTCAGTACCCTGACAGACTACAAAAACACTACAGCTCTTAAAATCAACATCACAGTTTGACCTTCAGATTTATCTACTGGTCAGTAGAGATTGTGAAGTTGTGGTGATTGGAGAGTGTGAGAGAGGAAGGGGAGGACATGAAGGGAGTTTTGTGGTCTCAAGATGTGTCTATCAAAAAAAAAAAGAAAGAAAAGAAAAGCCAGGTGAATGCTAAGTAAGTATTATATAATCATGTATCTAAATTTTCATAAGTCTGTATCCAAAAGGAAAATATTTACAACTGGATCGAAGTGATGTCTGAGAAGGACTGAAGCACCCTGAAGAGTTTATGAGTGCCCAGCCTTAATCTGGATACATCTACAACTCACTCCCTTTTTCTCTTCTCTTGTCTTCTGAGCAGGGGCATAGCAAGAGGAAGGAAGCCCTGGGAGGTAGGGACACATCTCAAGGGCTGTAAGAGGAGCCCCCTGAAAGTCTATTCACCAGCTTCCTTCTTTGGCAGAAGCCAGTTTGTTCCCAAAGTAATGGAGCAATAAGGCCATATTCCGCCAAATGTGTGGGCTTTCTTGAGAAACATTTCCTCTCTGTCGGAGAGCAGTGGGTGGGGTGAGATGATAAAAGTAGGTGACAGGCAGTTCTTTCCAAAGCCAGAATTTGAAGTGGTACCAGAAGGCGTAGCTGTGTCTGAGTCTCACCCTTCTCTTCTTCATTGGACAGATCTGTAGTTCAATGGGAACCTTTATTGGTCATGTGTATCCAGGGCTCTTTCTGTTCTTTTATGGACTGTATCAGGCAATAGTGGTCTCCAAAGCCATAATATTCAGTGACTCTCTCCTGTATCCTTCGTGCCCTTCCAGGAATAAGGGAAGATGTGCCAGGCTGTGGAAAATATCCTATGAAGGTTCGTTGAAGATGGTGGTTGGCTCCCTCTTGATAGCTTATGAGGTCAGCAGCATTGAAGGAGGATTGAGACTGATGAACAGAGAGCTACCACCAAGGTTTATGTACCCCAAAGAGTGGCAGCACCTCACCATGTTCACCCTCCTCACCCTCATCGGCTGTGTAGACGTCGTGAGCAAGAATGTGCTGGCTCAGAGGTGTGTGGCCCTAGAGAAAGGTATCCTGGTCCTTTCCTTCTATGAGCTCCTGCTGCTGCTGGTAACACACGTTAAGGGCTCAGAAGGGGTAGAGCTGCAAGTTCATGCTCTGCTCATCTTGGTGGTGTTCCTGCTGACGCTGGTGTTGGCTGCCGAGCTGTGGGCTCCCGACACGTGTCACCTCTGGCTGATTGAGACCTTTCTGTTTCTGATAATGGGCTCCTGGCTGATACAGGCAGGCTTTATTCTATACAGACCTCTCTCGGGCTACCCTTGGCAGGATGATGACACCAATGACATCATGTTTGTCACCACCTTCTTCTGCTGGCATGTGTTGGTCGATGCCTCCTGCCTGTTGGGAATTTATGGCTTCTCTTCCTTTTGGTACCGTTGTTACGGTCCCAGCTTGAGGCTGATGGGGTCCAAAGAGGCTCCACATCACACCAGCGCTCCAGGACACCTCTACAAGTTGCTGCAGGAAGTGGAGCCGTCAGAGAGAGAGGACCAGGTTCTCCTCCTTTCAAAGAATTCCCTCTGAGACAGGGCTCACCTTGACTAGCACTTAATCCACACCATCCTGTGGCTTCCTCAGCCATGGGTATGGCGCCCTCCCTGGTCCCCAGTGTGGCCTGAAGGGCAACAGCTGGCCCCAATGTTGTCCCTGTCCCTGAGCCTCTAAGCACGGAGGAGAAAAGGAGGAATGAGGGACTTGAGAAAGAAATGCTGATTGGATTTGGGGGGAGGGAGGGAAGAAGACCTGGAAAATAGATCAGTGTGCAAGAAAGCTATGGGGGAAGAGAAGGAAGTGTTTTGAAGGGAGGAGAACAGAGTCCAGAAGCTATGCAGTCACCAGCTGTGTCTCCAGGCACAAGGGGTTGCCTTTACCTGAGAGAATAAAGATTTCTCATAACTCAAAAATGGCATTCAAGGCTCATCCTGATAAAGAAAAGTGGGTAATTTTATGTGCTCACCACAGTGGTGCCACCATGTGGAAGTAGTATAACAGAATTGATAATTAATTGATATAGGTTGAAATGATCTTTTTGCCTTTGTCTTTCCCCCAGCTTTTAAGGATTGGATTCATTTCAAATATTACACCCAAAATGAGACTTTCAAAGATACTTCAATAACACTTTATATTTGCATAATTCCAGTATGTCGAGAATTAAAATGTGTGGTACTTGCTCACCTCCCATTTTATTACTCTTCCTCTAGCCAAGGAGTGCCGGTATCACCATCACCACCCTTGCACAGGCATCCTTGGGCCTCTGCAAATTTCTCTTTCTTGCACGTCACAGGCAGACATCCCACATAGGGCTGCTTGTTTCCTGTTGAAATTTGGCATGTGAATGTGGAATAAACAGGGGTCCAAATCAACTAACGGGGTGGGAAGTGAGGGAGGAAGAACTGTAGATTCAGTTGAGGATTTTACCATGTTATTAGATGCCCAGAGTAAACCCACCCTATCCCCCACCCCCTGAGTACCCTTAAGGTGGCCTTCTCCAAGAACTCTGTCGATGACTCCTTTATTTTGGACCTCTTAGGCATTTATAAGAAATTCGTCTTATTATTTTGCCCATAAAGGTGACACACTGTGCTTTGCACTGTTTCTGAAACCAATTCCTTTGAGGAGGTTTTATCTCACCCACCAAAGTGTAGGCTCCTAAAAGGCAAAACTGTCATATCCAAGTTTCAAAATTTCCTATGTATGCTCCAACTACAGATCATAGTTGATGCTTAATTAAGGCTTATTTGTTTCTAGAATCTCCCCTACCCCTGTTCCCTCTAAATGGGTTACCGGACAGGTCGGAAGTTTTGTGAACCTCTGGTTGACACCAACAGTCCTAAACACTGAGTCCTCTCCTTAGTAATAGGCCCGCTCTCTTCCTCATTCTCAGGTATAATAAAACCCAGTAGCTTGTTTCCAATTGTTTACTTTGTTATTATTTTTTAACCCACACAAGTGTTTCTATAAGAAACCTCCAGAAAACCGGGAGTCCAGCAGGTTGACTTACCCAAGTCTCACAGCTGGTATGAGGAATTTAAGTGCCGGTGTGCCTGACTCATGCCCATGACTATGTCCTCTGGGCCACAGTGATTTTGCTCAAGACAATGGAGAAGGGAATGATCTGCAAAATGAAATGTTTTTGAAAAATGTAGAAAGAGGGCTGGGCATGGTGGCTTACACTTGTCATCCCAGCAATTTAGGAGGTCAGGGCAGGAGGATCACTTAAAGCCAGGAGTTTGAGACCATTCTGGGCAACAAAGCAAGATTCTGTCTCTAAAAACAGAAAAAGTAGCCAGGCATGGTGGCATGCACCTGTAGTTCCAGCTATTCCAGAGGCTGAGTCAGAAGAATCCCTGGGCCCAGGGAGTCAAGGCTGTGGTAAGCCATGATTGTGCCATCGCCTAGGTGACAGAGTGGGACTTCAACTCAAAAAAAAAAAAAAGATAAAAGGTTAGCTGGAAGGCGTAGTATAAATACCCTAGACTCCCCTTAAAGGGCGTGTTTTTATTCTATACTCTGTTCCGAAGCCAGTCTTCCCTGGAAGGGAAAAATCTTATGGACTCTCAACTTCTGTCTTGGTCTTATATTTCTGGGCTCAGATCCAACTGAGGGCTGAGGACAAGACTTGTTTGTGACCAAGCCTTCTCATCTTTGCCATTTCCCCTTTACTCCTGGTTCCTAGACTATTACCTTTCTTTGTAAGCCTTCCTTTTCTCTTCACTTCTCTTACACATTTATGACCAGTGATGAAAAAGCACAATCACTTGATTCCCCCAACATAATAACTCTCACATAACCAGCATAGGAATAAACGTGCATGTCATTATCTTGCTATATTTGAGATGTCACAGAAAGGCCCTTCCTAAGAATGCCAGTTCAGAAAAAACTTCCCCATCACTCAAGCTTTGGGGGAGGTTTATAATTCTCACAAAATTCCACCAGAGGGCACTATGCTCACATCACGCTGGCCAAGCCTCTGGCTCGCCAATCCTAGTAAACAAGTCTCCCAGGAACTAGTTTAAAAGAAGTATGTTCTCACTCATATAATGGACCTTGAACATCCAATGCAATACTATAAGAAAACGACTGACGGTACTGGGAAACTATGGGGGGGAGGGGGATGGGATTAACAGTAGCAAATATCTGTTGGGGGATGGGAAAACACCTCTTATCAACAGGGTGCCTGAATGAAACGTAATTGTACACCTAACGCTTAACTGTACCCCACAAAACCATAATAAAAAATACTGATTAATTAAAAAAATAAATAAAAAATAAAAACCCCTGATCAAGAAAAAAAAGAAGTGGGAGAGGAGAAAAAAAGGGCAGGAAAAAATAGAGAACAGACAGGTATTGCCCAAGCATCCAGAAAATATACCTTAGGGCTGTTTGTTTCCCGTTGAAATCTGGCGTGTGGGCGTAAAATAAACAGGGATCCAAGTCGACTAATGGGGTGGGGGTGGGGGGTCGGGAAGAAAGAACTGTGGATTCAGTTGAGGATTTGTTTGTGGAAAGGACTAACTAAAGGACACACTCTGATCCAAAGAATGTTTTGACCAACCAGTCTAGAGAACAAGGATACCGCTCTGTAGGCACAAAATTTATCTGTGAAAATCCCACATTCAATGAAATGAAGGGCAAGCCGGGCTCGGTGGCTCAGCCTGTAATCCCGCGCCTTGGGAGGCTGAGGTGAGTGGATTGCCTGAGCCCGCGGGTTCGAGACTCGTCTGGGCAACTTGGTGAAACCTCATCTCTACAATAAATCAAAAAATTAGCCGGGCCTGGTAGCGCACGCCTGTAATTCCAGCTACCCGGAAGGCTGAGGCGGAAGGATCGCCGGAGCCCAGCAGGTCGAGGCTGTGGTGGCCAGGAGTAGACACTGCACTCCAGTCTGGGCGAAAGAGTGAGATTCCAACTCAAAAAAAAAAGAAATGAAGGGCAGATTTTTAGATGTGCAAAATGACCTACAGAGAGTCCTTTAAAGGGTACCTGTCCTACAGAGAACTTGCCTAGATTTTTCTAGTAATCTAGCTATTCACAAAGAAAATATATATTGAATATCTGCTCTATGGACGTCACTGGGTACGTGATAATGTAGAACTCAGAGGTAAGCTGGTTGGTCCCTGCACTCTGTGGTTTCCTCAGTGGGTACCATGAAAATTTCGGTATTTTAGAGGTGGTGGCCAGGAACACATCACCTATACACTGAGGAGACTGAAGGAAGGGGAACAGAAAAGGGTTCTCCAAGGAGTGGCACCTTGAAAGCACATTAGGCTCTAAAATACTGCCCTAATGTGACTTCAGCAAGTTAGCACAAGTTATCTAGGCCTAGTTCCTCATATTTAAGTTAGAATGATGTGCATATTTCATTCTAGAATTGTATGGCTTTAATTTTCTCAATAGAATGGATTTTCCCATGCTGTCAGCTGAGACGAACTTGATTCTTCCCAACTTTCCAAGTACTGTTCTAGTAGAGACAAGATTTGGGGTAGAGTTCAAACAGACCCAAACTTTCAGTCATAACACGCAGTTTGGGAAAAATGGAGTGTTCCCTATGTTCCTATGTTTGGATGATTTCAACAGGCATTCGATGGAACTAAAATTAGGCTAAAGAGATACAGCTGAGACATGAACTTCCAACTTTCTGAACTGAGAAATATCAAACAATCAAAGAAAACAAAGAACCTTTCCTCCATGCTCAGTATTAGTCACTGAATTGAAGCATAATTAAAGCCTACCTAAGACACAAGTCTTTGCTTTTCTAATTGTATAGAGTAAAATTTGAAAACTTAGCCAACCACAGCTTCTGTCCAAAATATGGTTTAAAAATAACGCCATTAACTTCCAGAACGGTTTATTATTATTGTTACTTTGTTTGGGTTTTAAATTCTACTGAGGTCTTTTCTTTTGGAAAGAACTGGTTTTTGTTTATTAAATACTAATAAGAACAACAGTTTACAATTCTGGGTTGGGTTTCCAGAGTGTTCCCCCACACTGGGTCTCCATTGTGTCTCTTTAATATAATTACGGCTTGCAGTGAATGCCTGTTGAAATCGTTCATATGTAGGGAAAACTGCATTTCCTGAATAGCATGTTAGAGTTGAAGGTTTGAGTTCGTTTGAGCCCTACCCTAAGTTCTGTGTCTAACGAATATAAGTGTAAGGCACTGGGAAGGCATACTCAGATCACCAGGTTAAGGACTACGTACCTGCAGAGGATAGATTCTCTAAAAGAGAGAAAAGAGATGTGAGGGCAGCTCACAGGTAAAGCCTACCTAAGACACAAGGCCTTGATTTTAGGCAACCGAACAACACTGAAGAAATGCTTTTAGTCTCAGGTCATTTCTGCAGATTTGGAACAAAATCTTTACCTGCAATAATGCTCTCCCACTCCACCCACCCCTAAGAGAGCTGAACGTGACTTCAAAGCACAAGCAGTGGAAACCCCTGTCAGCTTCAATACTGCGTGTACCAAGAGACAGAAAAGTTCATGGGTTCAAGCATTCTAATTCTCTTTTTAATGGAGGGGGTAGAGAATGGGGGCGGGTGGCAATTTAGGGAAGAAGGGGAAGAAGAACAAAGGGCAGCAGACACAGCAAAGTCGAACTGGATAAAACAGACCTTCTACTTTTAACTTCTCTAAAAGGACAGGCTGGGCTTCTAGGGGCGAACCAGTAAGAGGACTTGCTTCTGCTTTTCCTTCCCTCATACACTCTTAAGCTTCCCTGGTGAGCCCTTGGACTCATCTGGGTCCTAATTTGGTTGGTTCAAGTAAATGTGGGGCTAACCAAGGAGGACAAGGCCTCTTGTTCACTCCTCAAAGAGTCAGTGGTCATGTATTATGTCCCTAACCCTTACAAAGCTTGCCCCTGGTCACATGAACGGATCAAAGCAAATCCATTTCCATTCTCGGAAAAGCAGCTCAAAGCACACGTTCTCTTGATGGTGCCGCCGTCATTTCTGTGTGGTCAACAAACATTATTTATTGAACACTCACCCGTGTTGCTACTGGGGGGTGAAGATGAACAAACTGTTCAAGGAGGTCAAGATACCTAGCAAGGCAGCAGGCACTCAAAGGACAGAAATACCTTAAGCCTAAAAAGCTGCATTTGCACCTTACTATTCCATTTTCTATTATGTTTGCTATCCCCACCTCAAGTTCTGTTGGTGGGTGCAGTAGAACAGGGGTCCCCAAACCCCAGGCCCCACCACAGGTCTGTGACTTGTTAGGAACTGGGCTGCACAGCAGGAGGTGAGCAGCTGAAAGTGGAGCTCTGCCTATTGTTAGGTAAGCGGGGCATTAGATTCTCATAGGAGTGTGAACCCTATTGTGAACTGCCTATGTGAGAGATACAGGTTGCGCACTCCTTATGAGAATCTAATGCCTGATGATCCTCCCATTCTCTCTGTGGAAAAGCTGTCTTCCATGAAACTGGACTCTGATGCCCAAAAGATTGGGGACCACTGCAGTAGAAGGCTCTGTTATGCTGTGGTAATTTGGCACCTGGAAATTAGTATCTTTAAAAAAAAAAAAGATATATATGCATACATGCATACATATATATGAAATTAACATCTTTTAGCCACGTGCAGTGGCTCACGCCTATAATCCTAGTACTTTGGGAGGCAGAGGCAAGAGGATTGCCTGAGCCCAAGAGGTTCAAGACCAGCCCGGGCAACTTGGTGAGACTTCGTCTAACAATAAATTAAAAAAAAAAAAATTAGCCAGGCATGGTGGTACACACCTG